ACCTAAGACAGACTCGATCACTTGAGAGGCCATCGTGGACTGGGGGTGCTGCAACAAAGAGTGAGCAATGGACCCTCCTCCCCCTTATGTGACATAGCCCAAGTCCCCAAGTCCTCTGGGAGAAGCTCTTCCTGGCTCTAATCCACTTAAGCCTGAATACCTGATGGGGAGGGGTGCAGTTCCTTGCCTTGCCAGAGCAGATCCTGGGGAAAAATCTGGCATCACAAAGAATTCCTAAAAAACCTGTGAAACCTGCTCTGCTAAGAGTTCTTTCATTCATATGTTAAGAGTCCAAGCAGGAAACCCTGAAGTTTCTGCAAACTCCCTTCCTGACAGACTCTGACTCAGACTAAGTCCTCAGATTTCTTTGAAATGTTATCTACTGTTTGATCCTTGCCGCCTTGTATTCCTGTGTATTATAATCCAATAAAGGCCCCTGGAGGAAGGGGCTTGCTGCCTTTTTCCTCTGAGAAACTGACCACCACTCCTGGCCTTTGTTTCCTCTGAGAAATCGGCCACCTCTCCTCCCCAAGCAGACCATGTCTTAGTAGTGCTTACTTTCATCCTTGGCGGACGGGGGCACTTTTGGGAAAAGTTGTCCCCACAACTCTGGTTTCCTATTTGTTAAAGGTTCATAAGTCTGTAGGAAATCTTCAGTCTGCTGTTGAAAAGCCCTGGGAAGTGACTCAGAAGACCTAATTCTAATGTTATTTTAGCCCCTATTTATCTGGAGATCTCCAGCCTGGGCCCTTAACCTCTCTGAATGTTTCCTCATGTGTAAAGTGAAGGAGGTGGAATAAGTAATCTTATGTTTACCATTCTGTATTCTTGATATTAAGAGTATTTTGGCTAAAATGTTTGAAATGATCTTAGAGATGTTAGCATTTCTAACTTCAAAGCTGTTTCCACAATAAAATTTAATGCAGACATTAATGCAGACATTAATAGTGTAATGCAGACATTACACTATTTAATGCAGACATTGTTTTTTTAATATACTATGACCTAATGTATATTTTTCATGCATATCTGTTTTACAAAGTGAAATATATTGAAGGTTACAGCTAATTGTCTTAAAAGGATGTTTAAAGCTTGTATGTAACTATTTGATAATTATTTGAAATAAAAGGGTCCAGAAGATGTAGAAATGCACTGTATTTAAATTTCTTTTTATTTAATAGTTTTTATTGTATTTTTCATTACTATTTAGTTTCCTTACACCCCTGCCCCATGCCCACTCTCCCCCACAATCACCACACTGTTGCCCATGTCCATGAGTATTGTATTTAAATGTATATATTGACATAGAAGACATTTACTGTTTTTCTAGTATTCATGATTTACTAGAATACATTCCAGTATTCTATTTCATTATGTATACTCTTTATAGTACACAAAATGTGCACTTTTCCTTATCTTTTTATATTTTGAAGTTTACTAGGCTAATTTAGATCAACATAATAATAGTATTGGTAGCTTTTGTTTGTTATGTACCAGAGCTATACTATATTAATTTACTGAATTCTGGCACTTCCCTGTGAGGTAGGTACTTCTGTTATCCCCAGTATGTGGATGATAAAACTATGGCACCGGGAAGTTAAGTAATTTGCCTAAAGTCACACAGCTAGGCTGGGATTTGAAACCAGACAATTACAGAGCCCAGGATTCCTACCCATTAGGCAATATTGCCTCTCATATGAGTTCCTGATTTCTGATACAAAAGATGCCACTTGATGAACAGAAGATAAACAGGATGATGCCCAGTAGAAAATTAGGTTACGAGAAAAAAAAAAAAAGAATTTACAGACAGAGCCATTTAATTACAAATGTCCTTGCCAAGTCGAGAGGAAGTCAGACCGTTTTGTGAACTCGGACCCTCACATAGTTCATGCATTCCACAATCTGGAACCACTAGAAGTGAAATGAAGGCCCTAGGATCTGTGCTGCAGGGGAAGGTTGACCCAAGAAGGATGACTGGAGAATAGGCCAGGAGCTCCCTGCTCCCCATATTCCCAGGGCAACGAGAAAACCCCTTGCAAACGGCTGCTTCTGCTAGCCAGTGGGTGAGGAGAGTTGCACTCGCACCCAAAGTACCGGCTACAGTGGGGGTGGACAAAGAGCGACGGGCCTCTGCGGGATTCTGAGAAGCAAGGAATGTGGAAGACGTTTTCCCTCTAGCGCTCTCCTCCCTGATAGAAACTGTATTCGCAGTCAGTCCTCCACCCTATTCGCCACAGGTGGCGGGGATGTGGCAGCAGCAGCCCGGGATCCCAGTCTGTGCCTACTCTCTTAGCTGCCAGCTCTTTTTGGGCCACGTCCCGCCCGCCGCTAGGGTCGCTCAGGAGCCCTGGTTACTCGCGTGGGTTTTCCTTGGACGCTGGCAAGTCCGGGAGACTCGGCACCTTGCAAGCCAGTCCGTGCCTGCCGCCTGTCCCGGGGCCTTTCCCCTGCCCCCTCCTGCGGAGGCAGGATGGACAGGTAGCAGAGCACATAGATTCCCGAATTCCCACTCCTTCCCGCCCACGCTCCCGGGCGCACAGAAGTTCCACCGCACACGCCCACACCTCCGACAGCACTGCCTCTTCCCGGGCCTCACTCCAGGCTGGTTTCCCAGCAAAAGGGCAGGGGAGGTCCCCGCGCTTTCGCACCCTAGAAGCCCACTTCTCTCCCTGAGCGCCGCCTCTCCTTTGGTCCCTCGCCCCCTCCCCCTTCCTCCTTCCCCCCTCCCCCCTTCAATTTTCCACAGCCTGGTCGCCCCAGACTCCTTCCAAGTTCCCGAGAGCAGCTCCGACAGTGAGGAAGAGAGTCAGTCCATCACCCAGCTTCGTTCAGGAAAAATACCCGCGACACCCGCTCCTAAAAAGCCTAGCGTGGATTCAAGAGCGTAAATGCTGAAACCGAGTCAGACCCAGCTGGGTCCCTGTGCAGGAGCCCTTTCCTGGCCCTCTCTCTTCAGGTCCTTGTCCCAAGTGGCGCTTCCCCTAAAGGGAGGTTCTACGATTCAGGGAGTGTCTCCTCTGTCTTTCCACCCGCCTGCCTCAGCGACCGGCTCCCTTCCTCGTCCTTCTCGATATCCAGTGGGAATGCCCACGTTTCCACCCGCCTGGTTTCCCAGATATACTACGAGCGTCGATATGCATTTTAAGCTTTTAAGCACTAGGCTCCTGCGTCCCCCATCCACTCACTGACCTCAGGCTATGGGGGCTGATGCCCTGGTGGGCAGGATAGAAATTGATTCTGGTGGCTAAATGCCCCCCCCCCCCCAGCCACACTTGAGACACGGTCACACCTCCAAAATACGCACTGACCATTGTACCGGCCTGGATCCACGCAATAGGCGACCGCCCAGCATGCGCTCCCGCCCCTGCGGCGACAGTTAGCATGCCAGCTTTTGCCCACCGTGCGCGCCCGGCTTGGCCAGAGCCACTTCCCAGGCCGAGGTCTTAGGCGCGTGCGAGAGGAGGAAGGGAGGTTTAGGAAGCGAGGTACTCACGATTCCACTGTTTGCCTGGAGAGCCGGAGGGGAAGCTCCGGCCGGGTCGCGGTGGTCGGCCCTGCGCATGCGTCCCCCGTGTGCTTTATTTATTTATTTACTTTTATTTTATTTTAAGTTTTAATACCAAGTGATGTACTTTCACGTTCACGATTGCTCTCTCCAACTTTCCTCTTCCTCTGGCTCTGGGTCTTTCCTTTCACCCTCCTCTCCCTTTCTCTCACTTCCTGTGCTCTGTCTCCACCCTCTCCTCCTTCCCCAGACGAGCAATCCCAAATCCCACCTGGCTCTGGCAGCCGCAGGCTTCGCTGCGGTGGGTCACCCGAGGCCCCACGTAGGCACCAACTTGCACCCGGACCGTAGCCCCCTTCGTTTAGCCTGGAAAGTACCGAGACCGTGCGCGCAAAGCAAGGCAAGCGCTGAGGGTGTTTGCAGAGTCCTCCTCTGCGGTATCCACGCCTCCGCGCTTGGGGGCGCAGCCAAACTCAAGTGCCGGAATGCCTGCTCATCAGACCTTGTGAATGAAGGAGGTAGAGGGAGGTGCGTGTGTTGGGGGTGCGCTGTGCAAGGAGGGGCTGCTCAGTCTCTAGAGATTCTTGCCGCGGACTCCCCTGCCTCTGGAGGGCAGCCTCTTATCTCCTCCCTCTCCCCAGGGTGCTTCTTGGATCTCTGCCCCTATCCAACACCGGTTCCGCCTCCGTCTAGGGTAGTCCCACCCGCACTGGGAAGGGGGACCCTCGCTCATTCCGGCCTGCGGGAGCCAAAGGCTTCACCTCGTTCGGAGAGTAGGGTTGGATTGGGTTGGGTGGCAAAGTCTAACTCCAAACTCCAGATCCTTCTGAGACCCTTGGCAGCTGCCCTCCCTCCGTCAGGGTCTCTGGAGAGCGGGATAAGGAGGAAGGCCTGGAGAGTGGAGGAGGAACTTTGTCACCAGGCCTGTGCAGAAGAATCAGATTGACGAGTCTCCCTAGAGTCCCCAGGGTGCCCTCGGGAGCGAGGCATTGCCGGGGCTGTGAGCATGAGCTCAGAGGGCTAAACTGAAGTTGGATGCTGACCCAACACAAAAATAATACCATGTCATTTCCTCCCCGACCCCTCCAGCCGGCAGTGGCTGGGGGTGGGGGGCAGAGGAGTGGGAGCACGAGGAGGGACCTGAGGCGCAGCTGAGGAAGGCTGGAAGGAGTGGGAGGAGAGCGATGCGTTAAGAACCTGTGTCTGAGCAGCCTCAGGGAGAAGGAGGGTTTCCTCCCTCTTCCTTGAATCCTGGAAGAAAACGGCCCAGGAAAAAGTGGCTTGGAGGGTTTCCTGAGTGGGGAAGTGTCAGGAGAGTTGCCAGTGCCTGTTCCTTGAACTTGCTCAACCCGGTTTCTACTTTCCCACCTCTCCTTGCTGGCCGGAGCCCCTGTTGGTCCCTCGTGGAGTGGCTCAGTCAAGGTTAGGAAGGAGTTGGGGATGCAGGCGTCCTGGAGTGGCCAGAGTTGGGCATGGTGGGGACAACGGTACTCACGGGTATGAACGAGCTCTGCCCAACGTTGGCATCCTCTTCCTGAGGCAGGCGTTCCCCTGGGCCTCGGCCAGGCAGTGTCAGAGCTGCCCGGAGCAGGAGCGAGAGGCGGCCTGGCCACTCCTCGCCCCCGCGCAAGAACCCAGTCCCCCGCCGGGCGGAAAGCAGGAGGGAGAAGTCCGAGCGCCGCCGGGGAGTTTCAGGATGGGGTCTCCGGAGAAGGTGAGAGAAGAACTGCACGAGGCTGTAGAGGGTGCTAGAAAGGAGGGTGAGCAGCTTCCGAGCAGAAGGCAAATCTGGGGTCTGTGCAGAGCAAGCGAAGGGCAAGAATGGAAGGAGAGAAACGAAACCAGCATACCATTACTAATGAGCCCAGCTACAAACTGAAGAAAATGTGTACTTAGTGCCATTTACTACAGCATTACTATGGGGATGTACGAGAAGGTCGGTGAGAGCAAAAAGAAAGGCCTTTGGTTAGATTTTCTCCCCTCAACCTCTTTCCTTCCCTTTCTCCCCTCTTCCTCCACCTTCCTTTCTCACTCTTCCCCTCTTTCTAAATCCCTGCTGTTCAAAGTGCATCCTTGGAGCAGCAGCTTTGCTGACTAGGAGTTTCTAGAAATGCAGAATCGTGGGCCTTACCAGAACTACTGCATCAGAATCTGAATGTTAATGTTCTCAGGGGATTCCTATGCACAGTACAAATGTGAAGTGCAGTGTAGAGAAGGGCCTGTGCACGTCTCTTGATTCTTTAGAATTTGAATGAAAATCTCCTGGTATACTTTTGCAACTTGTGCTCTTCCTCTCTTATCTCTCATTCTCTTTTTTACCACCCCCCAAAGTGCCTGGAGCTCTGCCTGCCAGAGCCATAGAAGGTGGACTTGGTTACCAGTTTCCACTGGGATGGATATCTGGGAGACTTAGATGGTGGGAGAAGACTGAGGGATCCCAGACCCACCTCAGACTTGGGGGAGAAAGTGTCTGGCTGAAACGACTTCAGTTGTGCTGCATGGGGTCGGTGAGACGGAAGATCGGGCCTGCGTTGGGGCTCTGAAGTGCACACTCTGCATCCACCTTATTCTCAGGATCATAAGCCTTTCCATCTTTCACTTGTTGCTTAGGAAACCTAAGCGTCCAGGGTGAAGGTAAAATCTTTTCTCTCTCTCTCTCTTTTTCTTGGAAAGTTGAGGAAAGCATTAACCTAGACGTTAGAAGTCTAGGGTACTAAATTAAGACTTGCAACTGATTCGGTAGCTAACCATGGGAAAATCACTTTACTCTTTGAAATTCTGTGGTTCATTTATAAAGTAAAAGATTAAATTCAGCAGCATTTTAAAGTCATCTGCCTTCTCAGTCTCTCATTCTTGAGAAGCTCTCAGAGCTTCTTGGTCCACGGACATTTAATGAACTTTCAAAACGGAATCTAACTCAGCCAATCCGAACAGCCCCCTCAAGCACAACATAAAAAGACACTTTCATCTGATTATGAAAGACAGGAGTAGCTGTTGCCAAGAAAAATGAAGGTGGAGGTGGGAAGGAGTGAAAAAACGTGACAGAACGGAGGGGCTTGCCAGGGGGTGAGGCGAGCGTGGCGAGGTACGGGTCTGCGGGGCTCAGCTACCGCTCTCCAGGGTCCTGAAGACGGACAGGCCACGGGAGGCTTGGTGGGCTTGGCGCAGTGCCATCGCTCTGCAGTCGCTAGGTCCCCGGTGTTTTCTTTCCGCGGTGAAAGTCTGTGGGAGCGATTGTCAAGAGAGAGGGAGGAAACCTAGCAACCCATTCTCATTCATGAGGGCCTTTCTGGGAAGCTGCTGAGCGCGTTGGCTAATTTGTCTTTCGTTCGTTTGTATGCGCCTGGGGAGAGAGAGTGGAGCTCGGTTTGCACTTCCGAGTAAGTTCACACTTTCATTTCTCCTCATCACTTTTTCCTGGAGAATGAGGTCGTTCTCCCAGTATTTGCATTCTTCTCGTCTCCTCTCCCACTTTCTGGAACTGGACATTTTGTTTTAGCGCTGGGAGCTCGGGAGGCTTCTGGAGAAGCGCCAATAGCTCACTTGAGGTGGGGGACGTGAGCTATTTGGAAAGTGCTCAGAGCAGGCTTTAGTACCCAGGACGTGCCCCGAGACTGGGGTTTGGGGCCAGAGCTCTGCCAACGCCAAGCAAGCTTGGCCACCCTGGGGGGCGCTGGACCTGGGTGAGTCAAGGCTAACATGGTGCGCACCTGCGAGGTGGCCAGAGGCGGTGGTCGTGTGTGCCTCGAGCACGGCGCCACGCGGCCTCAGGAACTCCAGCCACATGGGCACTGGTGCTCCCGACTCTATGCTACGAAGGTCAAGAGAGAACCGACACAGTGCCCCATGACTCAGAAGTGGACTAAACCTATGCAGACCTCAGGAAAGGGCTTGAACAAAGTGAAAAAGGCTGAAAGTAAGCAGACACACTCGGAAAACTTCATGGGCCTTTCGTCGGTCCCAGAATTTTCATCTTCAGTTGTTTCGAAATGGTTTTGTGAGAGTGTGTGAACCTGTTATGGGACTCTTCTCTTTTCTCCTCTCACCCCAGTCCTTCTTTCCAACATACTTGCACTCCCCTTCCTGGGGCATGCTTCATTAGGCATTTTGCTTCGGTCCTGTGCTTCAAGACAGAGACGCTTCTGAGAGAAATAGAGGAAATGGTCACGCAGAATTAAAGTCCCAGACTCAGTCCCAGAAACACAAAGCCTGAGCTTCTTTGATCTTCTGGAGACATTCTCCTTTTACCCTTCCCTAGGTCGGGTGGTTTCCCTCCAGACCAGCGGTCTCTCCTCAACTCTGGCTCTAATTAGTGAGAGTGGGAAGCATGATATATGGAGGGTGCTAGAATCCATTACTTCCTTTGGCCCTTCTGGCAAAGGTAGAACAACACAGTATCAATGTAGCCACAAAATTCGATCTGAGGAAAGACCTTCAGCTGCTTGCTGTGCTGATCACTCCAGAAAGTCCTTTCTTTTAGGCCTTTAGGTTCTAGATGACAGTCTGAGGGTTTCAAGGATATTAGCCACAAGATGGAATCATCTTGAAATCTGTATTTCTGAAAGGACTGCTGCTCAGATATTATTACTTAGGGAGTACTTTATTCTGATGGAATATCCACTTCTCAGTATCAGTCACATTAGTAATTGAATTATGCAGAAGAGAAAAATCACAATACCCCAATTCAATATAAACAAAATCTCACCCCTTAAAAGGCAAATTGAAAATTTTTGTTTACCCCTAAATGGTACCATTTCATAAAGGAAACATCTTTTGTAGGTAAGAATACCAGCCCCTAATCTAGTATGGCTGGTATTCTTATAAAAAGAGGAAATTTAAACACAGACATTTACACAGGAAGAATGCCATGTGAAGACAAAGGCAGAAATCAAAGTGATGTATCTATAGGCTACGAGATGCCAAAGATTGCCAGCAACACCATAAGTAGGAAGAGTCATGGAATAGATTCTCCCTCAGAAAGTATTTAGTCACAAGACTGAAACATGGAAACCCCAAATGAGTTTTCAACATGCTGTCTTGCTCTACAGATTTTAGACTTGCCAGCCTACACCTGTATCCTATTTATTCTGGTCTTCTAGAGTACCTTGACTAATATACCCTAATGTAGGTTTTATTATCTTTCATCTGGTCTATTGGAATAGTCCCATAACTGGCATTTATTCTTCTTTGCCTCATTCTCTCTTATAGTATAGTCTAAATACTGAAGCCAGAGTTATCCTTCAAAATGTAGGTCAGATGTTGTCACTCTGCAACTTCAAACTTTCTAGTGGTTTCTTATTTCAGAATAAAATCCAAAGTCTTTACACTAGCCTTTGCACTATGTGAATGGTTCCATACTACCTCTAAGATATCCCTTTTCTCTATAACTATCTCCACATTCATTTTCCATAGCATTTATTGTCATCTGACATATTCACTTGTTTACTGTATGCTTTTGTTCATTACTGTATCAGTAATGCCTAGAACAGTGCTTAGCCCTTAAAAAGTACTCAATAAATATTTGTTGGACAAATCAATTGACAAACAAACTATTACTTAGCCATGAAAAGGAATGGAATTCTGATACATGCTACAACATAAATGGACCTTGAAAACATTATACTAAGTGAAAAAGGCCAGACACAAAAGAACAAATTTTCTATGATTTTATTTATATGTGGTACCAAAATTAGGCAAATTCATACAGATAGAAAGTGATTACCAAAGGCTGGGGAAGGAGATAATGGGGAGTTATTGTTTAATGCATGCAGAATGCTTGGGTTAATAAAAAAAGCTCTGGAAATAGATGGTGATACTTACATAACCTTGTGAATTATTTAATAGTACTGAATTATGCACTTAAAGATGGTTAAAATGGTAAATTTTATATTATTTAATATGACACTAAAACCTTTCTAAGTGTGACCTGTGTGAACTTGTCACAATGTTAGTGACTACATTCCTTATGCTGTACATTACACCCCCATAACTTATTTATCTTATAATGGAAAGTTTGTAGCTCTTATTCTCTTTCACCTTTCCACTCATTTCTCCATCCCTTCCCCTCTGGCAATCATCAATTTGTTCTCTGCATTTAAGCCTCTTTCTGTTTTATTTTGTTTGCTCATTTGTATTTTTTTTAGAGCACATACATAAATGAAGTCATATGGATATCTAGGTCCATCCATGTTGTTGCAAATAGTAAAATTTTATTATTTTTTCTTTGTTGGGAACCCTTTGCCTGGTTTCAGGAGTTGTAACCGCCCCCCCCCCCCATGGATAAGGCTGAGTGAGCAACCTTCAGACTGTGAGCCACTAAGGAGACAAAGCTTATCTCTGGCAGCAGCACTGCTTCTGCTGCATCTTCTGCCCCCAATCTTGGTCAGTTAGTCAGAGACAGGTAAGACCTCTCAGAGGAGGGGCAACCCAAGCCAGACACAATCACCTGGGAGGCCCTCAAGGAAGGACTGGGGGGGGGGGCTTCAGCAAAGAGGGTGTGATGAACCCTCACCCCCCTGGCTATTCTGACATAGTCTGAGTCCCCATTTCCATCTGGGAGAAGCACTTCCTGGCTCTAATCCACTTAAGCCTAAAAACCTATGACTGTGAAGGCAGTGCATCCCTTTGTCAGCTAGAGTGGTTCTGGGGTGATCAGGCATAAAAAAGAATTCGTAAAGTCCTGTGAAGCCTGCATTGCTAAAAGTGTTTTCATTCATATGATAAGGGTCTGAGCAGGAACTGAGTATGTCTCCCAAAGTTTTTGCAACCCCCTTACCTGACAGACACTGACTCAGA